GAAACGATTTGATACAGAATTACGAGAGTGTTTACGGGGAAGAGTGGTTCGGTCTGTGGACCCGACACATGGAGTTCCTCGAGAAAATTCAGGAGCTTTTCCCCAATGGCTTTGTTAAGAATGACTTACAGAAAGTCCGGTGCCCTATATTTGTCATGCATGGCGACCAGGTCTGGTTATTTTTTTTTTATAAGATATATTATTTTTGTTTTATTAATATAAATTGTAAATATTTTGAAACTCATGTCAAACCCGCTGTCCAAATAGGACCCGATAGTAGGTGTGGAGCACTCGCACTACGTAATCAAGAATATCTCGGACTCCCGACTCCACCGCTTCCCCAAAGGCTCCCATAATTTGCACTTCACTTTCGCCAAAGAATTCAAGCAATTAGTCGAGGATTTCCTCAGTGACGTCGACGACGGCTATTAAAGTCGATGAAAGCGTACATTATGTAGTCTTTGACGCATAAAACTATTAAAACTACACTTTTTGTCTAAAACAGGTATTCATTTAAACATCAAGTTTATCATAATTATTATTTACGAATATATTTTATATAATATACAGTACTTGGATAATAAAAAGCTTTAAATATAATATATTCTTAAATAATAGTAAATAAGGATTCGTTTTATTGTGTACTAAACTTATGGTAGGAATTAAAAGTTAATTTTATTTAATACTTTAAAGAAGTTTATATAGTTTTTCATATAGTTTTATAAATTTGTTTTTCTTAAATTATCCTTGCTCATTAGTAATCAATGCAAACCAGTGCAATAATTCATTTACTGATTAATTATCTATATTTACTTTGCAATATTATAAACTCTTTGTACTAAATATTCATATCTTATTTAAATGATCAAGAATCATTTGTTTTTGCTCAATAATTATGATACTATTGCATTAATTTTAAATTGTATGTATTCTATATTAAATTGAACTATCAAAAATTATTACATTATTTTATAATTAATAACATTACATAAATATGTAGTTATTACTCTATATAAAATTAATTCTGAAAATAAAATTTTACAAATATTTTATCAATCTTAAATCATTTATTATAAAATTCACTAATATACAGTATGTTTTGAAATTAAGTTAAGTACAAGTGATCAACTTATATAATAAATGCACGCCTAATTAATTTTTTATTAATAAAAAGTGTGTAAATAGTGAACAATTGATTAATAACCGGCTGAGTGCATTTATGTACCCTGACATAATATTAATTACTTGTCAAAACTATTTTTTCAAACCAAATAAAATGAATTTTTTATTCAATAAACCATTAATTTTTAAAAAATTAATTAATTAAAAAATGTTTTTCACGTCAATTTCACAACTTTAAACATGGTATAAAAGGTCGAACATAACACACAGATTCTATCACAAAACAAATACAGTATTATTAAAATAAAATAATAAAATTCTGTATAAATCTCACAATAATGAAATTCATACTAATTTTAAGTTTAAGTTTAAGTTGTTTTGTATTTTATGGCAACTGTAAGATAGTCCAGGTAAAAACAACTGCCGATCTCACAAGTGCCCTGTCCAGTGTGGCACCGGGCGATACCATTAATATGGCTGATGGTCTGTATAAGGGAAGCGTATTCACGGGCACCACATCGGGTACAAGCGGATCACCCATTACTTTGACCGGATCTCGAAAGGCTGTCCTCACGGGCACTATGTATGGCTTTTGGCTGAAGGCCGACTGGTGGGTACTTAAGGGGTTCACTGTAGCCAACTCGCCAAAGGGGGTTATGCTGGAGGGCGCCAACCATAATGTGTTGGACGGACTGGAGGTCTATAATACC